ATAGTCAGTAAATAAATCAACCAAAGCTATCTAGACTAGAGACCCTGCACACCATGTGGTACAATGATACTGTAAAGTAAGTAACAGTCTCATTTTTAGACTTTTTATTGAAACAAAACAACATAGACCATTTTGAGATGTTTTACCCTTCTAAAATCCCTACTGTCTTTGCAACCTTGTTTTTAGTTTGGGGGGTTTTTTTTGTTTATTTTGTTTTGTTTTTTGCAGCCACAGAAATTGTGTAAAATAAATGGGGGGCTGTCCGGGATCCTTTTTGTTTCCATGGGTGAGTGTTTAATTAAGAAAATGCTCTTCGGCAAGAGTATTTTAGCTGTGTTGCTATGCTGTCCTCCCATCTAAGCATGTGGTCGTTACTTTGCTTTGGTACATTACTAGACTTTGATAGTTAAGTGTATTCCTGGCCTGCTTCTGACTTTAGAGTTTATCGTTAAAGGGCCAGACTGATATACACTGAAGAGATATGATACAGTATAAGACAATACAACAATAGTTTTTATTTATTTATTTCTAATTTTTTAGTTCATTTTTATTTCTTAAGATGACATTTTTTTTAAATATTCCACGTTCTTGCTCCCAGTATAAAGGTAACACCACTTTCAAGTTGGTACAGTAAATATGAAGCTACCAGCAGCATATCAGCAGACTGGCTTCTTGGCTTGTGCGAAAGTCACCTATTCACATAGCATGCTATATTAAATTTGTTCAATTAATTAAAACACATTTTCTATTTATACTTGAGAAGGCTTTGAGGATTGTAATCAGCAAGAAAGTAAAGCAGATTACCATAGTTTAAAGAAGAAATGGCATTATTACTATTAGTAACATAAAGCATATTGCTGCAGTACATATCATATAGAGTGTGTTTGAAAGGTACGTCAAAGGTGTCATTATAAATCAGTGATACTTTTATACTAAACTCTTGATATACAAATACCTGAAATCATGTCTAAACTTGAACTTAGTAAACTTGATACCCTTATGACAAAAAGTACTTACTGAGGCAGTGACTTTGCTAAGAGCCAAAAATACATATTCTCAAAATCTAAACTTAATCGTTCAATGTGTAACCTGAAGTCAAACTTTGAGGTGTGCTGCTGAAAGGAGGGTGATGGGTTTTTTCATTAGAGATGGGAGCAAATGCAAACTCTTGCAAATGCGTGTATGTGTGAGTTTGTGACACTCTGAGGATTCAGTCAGAGCTGGAGGTCGAGCCGGGGAATGATGAGGTGGCGTTTTCCTCCCTTTTATTCTTTTCTCCCTCTCTGTTCTTCCTGAAAGACAGATTGCATTCCATCCTCCCTGTAAAAAAAAACAAAAAAAAAACGAACAGGCAGACACATGGATAATATGAAGGTATCTGCAGTGTGTGTGTGTGTGTGTGTGTGTGTGTGTGTGTGAGAGAGAGAGAGAGAGAGAGAGAGAGAGAGAGAGAGAGGAGGAGGAGTGAATTAGAGGCTTGCTTGGCCAGCTTCAGACTGTGCAACGTGTCTGATGCTGGTGGATCAGATGGCAGAAAGCTGCTGTGTGTCTCCCCACAGCTCATCTGCTCCATAATGTCTGCTTTCTGCTTAATTACAGCTCACCTGCAGTCGGGCCGGCGCTGCACACAGAATACTGTTGGGGGGGGGGCAGAGAACCTTCTATATAAACCTGTATTTGGACTGGGGGGGGAATTCAACAGCAAAAAAAGGGCTCTTATTATTTAGAGCCGATAACAATCATAATCTGTGCAAACCCCACAATTGTGCAGGTATTTCTAAACAGAGGCAGTTTTAGCCCACTGCAGCTGCTCGCTCCAAAAATGCTAACATCTGGTTCAGTCATATGCTATTTTTTTAAACAGTCATCTATTATTTAATCTGTCATTTGATTGTTCCATCCTTATGGAAGACAAGTTAAAATATCAAATACATAGTATGATGATTCCAGTAGATCTTAGTAGTCTTTCCAACACTTTCAGACATAATTAGAATGTTTGGGTTTTTTGTTGTTTTTTTCAAGTTTGCAGGTAAATTGTCTCTTTAAGGGTTCTGTTCTTATCAAGTCCCAAATTTCCAACTTCAGAGCATCTCAAAATGACTTGTGTATTTGTTTTTTTGGTCTTTTTGTTTTTTGTTTTTGTTTTTTACATTGACCATGGTGATATGATTTAACACATTTCTAAGTGTAAATATTACACAAGATTACTATTATCTCATGAAGTGACAATTATTACACATGGTACCCTTTTTATGTACTGAGGTTCCAGTTCATCCAGAACTGAAGGGGACAGCATGAGTGGTCTAGTCTATCCGTACATGCTGAAGAAGAATAAGAACACTCACAGTTACAGAAAAAATTATTGTGCATTTGTTTACAAAAGTGTTGTTCAGCGTTTCTGTTTCTACTGTGGTGATGAAGGACCCACCAGAATTCTAAGGTGAATAAAACTGCACAATCAATCTTGTTAAAGCAGGTTTTTAAAATAACCTTCCCCAAAGTAAAGGATTTTCTGTCTTCCCAGAACAGGTGTAAAAGAGGCTCTAATAGTTATGCAGTCGGCGCATACACAACGTTTAGACTATAACGACCACCAGAGAGTTTCTGCTCTGGACATATGTCCCATGGTTTCATGTTTTTTGACACAAAAGTAAAAAGTAATCACAGGACTGATTGACGGACCTACAGTATCTACTTTTTAAAATGGAAAATCAGAGTGTGTTGAGTTATGATGACGTATACTGAACCAACCTGTGCAGCCCATTCTTTATCTCTGCTTTGGGCCTCATAAGCTCCCATTAACATACGAAACGGCACAATCATAGCTAGCAATTTATGATTTTGGCCACCCTTAAGCTCATCCACCTTTATTGTCCTTTTCACTATAATCGGGGTCGTAATTTACAAAACAAACATTTTGTTGTACTCAGCAAGATTTAACAATAGCTATCAGAATTAAAAACTCCCGAGGAAACAGTTTACTAGGGTCTGAGCTTTTATATAGTCAAATTTCTTTTTTTAGTCAGAGGAGTCGCCCTCTGCTGGCTATTAGAAATAATGCATGTTTAGGACATTTCCACTGTTAATTCCCTTTACAAACCCAGAAGCTACCTCTCTCTTTTACATGTGTTCTGTGAATTTGATAAGGAAAAAGGCCCAAAAAAAAAGTGTGAAATAAACAGGATGACATGTGAAGTGTTTGGAATTAACAATCTCTTTACTAAAGTTTCCTGGGCTTACTGACGTAAGCATGTATTCCAAAGTTAGGAGAAACCAAACATGCAAACCCCATATAGAACAGGTCTACCTACCCGAGTGTGAATCCAGGAGGCGGCAGTTTTAACATATTAGCCACTTTGCTCGGTAATGTTCTGAAAGTATTTCCATCAGACCTGAATCAGGTGATCAAAAACAATGACACAGTTCTACAAACTTTTCTTGTGTCACTTATAATCCTATAACAGAAAACAAATCCCTTCCGTCATCGACTTTCAGCAGATTATTTTGCTTATTTATTGATTGTGATCCATGGACTGTCACAAGTGAGCTTTTCTGGGACACTCCAGTCTTTTAGTTCTGCAGTATAGTTTGAGGACTTGTGAAAGGCAGATTTCTCTTTTTACACACATGCATACTGTATTAAAATAAGTCATTAGGTGGACTTTGTCAGTGTGATGATCTATGTTCCAGTGTAAACGTCTTCCTCCCCCTCACCCCAACTGGTCACAGCAGATGTCTGGCCCTCTCTGATTCTGCTGGAGGTTTCTTCCTGTAAAAAGAGCTTTTCTTTCTGCTGTCACCAAGTTCTTGCTCATAGGAGGTTGTCTGATTGTTGGCATTTTCTATGTTACTGTAGAGTATAAAGCATATTGAGGCCACTGCTGTTGTGATTTGGCACTGTATAAACTGAAATTGAATTAAATTAAATGGAATCTAATAGAATCAAACTGAACTGAATTGAAATAGTTCCAAACATGGAGCATGTTATTATAAAGTTCTTTGAACAATTTTTCCAAACCTGACATGAAACCTGCACGCTGATCACAACAAAATGTAGAAACTAAAGCAGAAGATACACATACAGCCTGAGGCAAGTGTCTGTGAGGCTGCAGCCATGTTCAGGACATGTTAACACTCAAACAGATAAGACTATAAAAACACTCTGTTAAGCTGAAACAACTGGCTCAAATCTACTACCAAAACCCAACTCAAACCGGAACTACAAGATATAAAACTGATAGATTCTGAGACATCAGATTGTGAAAAAAACCCAGAAAACTGAATCTAAACAGTCTTAGCTTTAACTCAAATCAAAGCGAATCAGGAAGTGGACCACAACCAGGAATAAATTCTGGATTAAACCCGTGCCTGTTGCAGGAGATCCTCCTCCAACCGTCCGATGCTCTTATGGATCAGGTTTCCTCCCGCTCAGCCCCCCTCCCCTCCTGCTCCTTCCTCTTCTGATCCAAACTATAACCCTTCTGGTGTGGAGGCATGGAAGGAGGGACCTTCTGTTCTCGCTGTTTTTTGTTTTTTTTTCTTTGAAGGAGTCGTCCATTCTTGTCTTCCCTAAACGTGAGCAGAAGCAGCAACGGGGTAATGAGGGTGCGTCCCTACAGTCGGTCCAGTCTCCGGTACCTCCCAGTTCTTGAGGCTCCCATATAAAAACCCTTGTGGAAAGTCAGTGTAGGCAGTAGGGAGTTTTCTGCTGGGGTCAGGAGGATTGTGAACAGACGAGTGGATCCTGCCCCCAAACACCCGTGTATGAGTGGAGTGTAGCAGAAAGAAACATCCCCAACTTTTTTTCCTCTCTTGCCTCAAAGAGTCTACATGTCTAGTGGCATCTAGACATGTTCAGCTTTGTGGATTTGCGGCTGGCGCTGCTGCTCAGCGCAGCAGTGCTTCTGGTCAGAGCGCAGGGCGAGGACGACCGTAAGTTTCATCACTGTTTACTGGATCTTCTCAGACTTTTTCCCCTTTTATTTTATTGCATTTTTTTCTTTACTGGGTTTGGAAAGTGGATTTTCTCTACGTGGCTGGACGGCTTCTGAGATCTTAGAGAAGAGGAGAAAGGAAAAGTTTTAAGTAGAATTAAGTTTGCTTTGTTGTGCTCTATTGTCTCCAGACAGATAGACAGATAATGCAGGGTGTGTGTAATGCATTGGGCATCTCAAGAAGGCCCCTGTCTCTCCCTCTCCTTGTGTTTGTCTAAGTCTGTCCAACCCCCACCTCCCCACCATGCATGCAGAGCGAGTTGCTGCAAGTTTTCCATTCTCTCCTCCAGGCGAGGGTTATCCAGCTGCATAGGTCTGAACCTCCCTTTAACCCAAACCCTGTGGCATTTTATCAGTTTGACATGACTACCTGCGTCACCTGTACCCATTCAAAAAAAATGGTTTCCACGAGATATGAGCCAGAAGGCGAAGCCTCTCACAGGCCTGATTGATGTGACAGGGAATTTGCAGCCTGAGGCCAAGTGCTGAGTTGGACAGGTGACTGAGAGGGAGAGTAGGAAGAAAACAGGGAGCGGAGGAGGAGAGGAGCAGGCGTAGTCTTGTCTGCCGGAGTATTTGACCTCCACAGCCTGAGCCAGCTTTCAACTTTAGAGCCCACAAAAGCTCAGGTGGACTTTTGAAGAGATCATTTTGCACAGAAAGAGAGGTCAGAGGGAAGCGGATGCCTCTGCTGGTGCTTAGAACAACCAGTATTCTCCTCTGAGAAGACAAAGGAAAAGCAGTTCAGCTCTGGAAACAAGAGCCCAGGAGGCGAAACTCGGTTTTTCCAGATGTTCCTCTTCTTTTGGAAAGGACTCAGCTGTGCATAAAAAGCAGATGTTTTCTGGCCCTCTGAGCGATCTCACAACGCCACCCAGAGGCTGCTCTCAGCACTGCCAGACACATCTGGCCGCCACGTCCCCCCGTGCCATCCCCTCCCCCCCTCTTTTCTTTCCACTCTTTTTTTTTCTTCTCTAATTGCATCCACATGTGGAGTGTTTCCACCAGTCACTGCCAAGCCTACAGTCTGCAGTCCTCCAGCCGCTTCTGCTTTTCCCCTCTGAGCTCAGCACTTTGGTACGCTGGAAGATTTAAAAGCACTCTGAGCAGAGTCCCAGTTTGAGTTTTGCTGAGAATCAAATGCAGCCGCCACAGTGTCAGGGTGGAAAATATGACTTTGAGTTGAAGAACAGGGAGATTAAATCCCATTTTACTGCGGGGTTAATCAGTGTCTGTGTGTGCAATGATGGCGTGACCTGCAGACACACACTGGTGCCCTCTCTGTCACCTCTGACCTGTTCCGGTCTGATTCCAAAGCCCCCCAGTTCCTGTCCACGTCTTTATCACCGCTAAGCTTTGTGTATTTATGTTGGTGCTGTCATTATTTCCTATGTTTCAGACGTAGATTTTACACCAGTTTAGCAATCTATCTTTTTCTAACGTTTTTCTCCAAAAAAGTGTTTTATTGAAACTATTTTTTCACTTTAATTCAAAATTCTCATCTCAGGTAATCAGTCTGACTAAATTTGAGAACAAATCAAATTTTTTAATTTGAGAAAATGATCCACATATTCAGGGTTTTTTCACAATTTATTTTTAGCTTCATAATTAAAGCACTTTAGTCTCCTGCCCTAGTTTTATCTGGACTCCCACCAGTGTAGATACTGAGGCTGCATGTGCGTTCAGGTAGCTCACCTGTGTCGTCCCTCTCCCTCTGTGTCGCCCCCCTCAGGCACGGGCAAAAGCTGCACTCTGGATGGCCAGGTGTTTGCAGACCGGGATGTGTGGAAGCCGGAGCCATGTCAGATCTGTGTGTGCGACAGTGGCACGGTGATGTGCGATGAGGTCATCTGCGAGGATACAACGGACTGCCCCAACCCCATCATCCCCCACGACGAGTGCTGCCCCATCTGCCCCGATGACGGTATAATAACTGCATCTCTCTCTGGACAAAGCACAGATACACAAAACAGTTTTTGCACATCACATGTTCTCATTTAAACTGCCCCCATGACACGAATCCATCATCTGTCCTCAATGACATGCCAAGAGTTACTGGTGTGAGTGAGACACTGTCTTTGAAAAATTATTTTTTAGTTTCTGTTTGAACACTTAAAGCATCATTATGAGCTTTTCTGGGTGCTTTCGTCTGTTAATGCCAAACCTGTTTGCTCTCTGCAGGCTTCCAGGAGCCTCAGACTGAGGTAAATATACATTTTCCACCGACACTTGTAAATAGTTTGTACAACTCCCATGAGATCAGATACACATTGGACACACTGTTTTCTTCTTTTCACCACAGGGAACCGTGGGAGCTCGTGGACCCAAGGGAGACAGGGTAGGTTCACACCCTCTTCTTTCCTTGTTTTACTTGTGGAGTAACTTTTGGTTGTGTGGTGAGCTCAAGATCTGTCACTCTAATTCCTGTGTTTTTGCTGGAGCTGATCAGTTACACTGATAGAACGTAGCTCCATGTGTTTTAAATCAGGCACATGTGGAAACGTGGCTCAGATGACTTTGAAATGCAGTGAAACTGCAAACTGCTTTTAGCTTTCATTACACATCATACTTAATCTAAAACCATTTACCCATCTTCATGCAGTGAGGTGGGAGAAAACAGAATCTTACATGTAAAGTTTCTGTAAACTGTAGTTTTTGATTTGTGTTTTTAAATGTCACCCTAGGGCACTGGTTGTCCTTTGTTACATCCAATTTTGATAGTTTAAGTCTTTTTTTTTTACCTCACACAAAACATGATGAGGTCAGGTTAAATCCTGCAGAGCAGCATGACTTGGCTTACATTTCAAAATCAAACCAAATATTATCATGGATAAATATTATTAGCTATATAAGGATTTGGTTTTTATCAATGAAAAAAACAACTTCTTTATCCATGATTTTCAACAGTGGAGCTACTTTCATTTAAATTGGCTCAATCTTAGGAGGAAATTATGACTTCTGATTATTTATTTGGATTGGATTTGATTGAACCTTCATTGGTCACTTTACAAGTTGAATCTTAGACTGTAAAAGAGGCTCTGTGGATCAGCTGTGTTGTTTTTAAGAGTGCATTTAATAGTGTAATAATAATGTATTTCGTGGTGCTATTTTGGCTACCGAGCATGATGGTGACGAACGGGTAGCTTTCTAAGTCAATGGCACTCTTACCTGTGTCCTGATATCAAATGACTAGACTGTTCCTGGTTAGTCTCATAGTCAGCCTCAACGTAAACTGCACCTTTAATGATTTAAAAGCCTTTGAAGACACAGACATGGAATCAAATATTAACCAAACACATGTCTTCAATGATACGGCCAGACCACAGGAAATGCACGTGATTAATGGTTTAACAAATCAGTTTTCTGTCTTAGAGTATTGGACTGTGGACATCAGAACTTTTAATCCAAGCGACCTTCTTGAGTATGACCCTGATTTCCTCTATCTACAGGGTCCTGCTGGTCCCCCTGGTAGAGATGGTATGCCTGGCCAGCCTGGACTGCCTGGACCTCCTGGCCCACCTGGACCCCCTGGCCTTGGTGGAGTAAGTTGTTAAATTTTAGTTATTCTGTATTTCACTCATTAAAGGTGAATGGTGGCCGGTCAGTTAGTAACGTAACTATGTCGTTTAATGTATGCAAATGATTGACAGCATGTTAATCATGCTACAGCTAGAGCGGAAAAAGTCAACTGTCAAAGCTGAAGTGATGTTAGTGTGATGAGCTGTGTCTGGAGTTTGGCACAGTGTCTCTGAGCAGAAGGTCAAGAAGTCATTACTAAGGATGGAATGACGCCTCATTTCCTTTTGAACGGAAAGCAGACAATATTCTGGAAGTGGACAAACTTTAGAAGCTACCATTTTTAATTTTAGAGGTTTATTTACATACTAATATACCCACTGACTCCAGGTCTGATTTAGAAATATGATCTGACATCTCCAAAGACTGAATTCTGCTACAGGATCATTGTTCCACATGCTAGGCTAGCACTGCATATCTTCATGCCTCTGTGCAGCCTGTTGTTGACATGACTGCTAATATACCAAAAATATTGATTGAAAATATTTTAAATAGTAACAAAATATAATTTATTATTTGCTGATTCATTTTATCATTTGCCTCTGTGCTAAAATGTTAAAAGAACACACTGTCACACGGTCATACTCTTTAATGAGATACTTAGCTAACATTCAAAAGCTAATTTGTATTTCTGTATCTTGCTTAAACATGAGTCCATACTTTTGTAGAATCAACTTCTAATTAAATATTCTATGTTTCAGTTTGCCAATAACTTCAACTACACATGTGTATGCTAAAGTAATAACTATAGCGTGGATAACATGTATAACTTTACCGAGGGTTAGCATGATGCTGTTTTAGATATGGCTAAATATCAACATCAAATTTTCCATGATTCAGGACATTAACATCTATTAACATACTTCAGCATTTACTCCATGTAACCACAGTTCAGTAAACTCCTACAGTCTTCCCTGTGTATACATTATCAGTGACATACTTCTATGCTAATGGTCCACGTTAAGCTGGACAATTAGAGACTTGACAGTCACCATTAACATATGTTTGACTTCAGACAGAATGTTCCCTATCTACATTATACAGTATGTATCCTCCAGAGACACCTTTAAATACTACTGTTGAGGTCAAAGGTCAATGATTTGATACGCACTGCTCATTTTAGAACTGGATTGTTATGAGTAGCATTAGCATTGAGATTCCATATCATCAAATCTGCTGCTGCAGTTTTGTTATTGTGTTTGCTTTTATTTGGAAATATAAAAAAAAAAATTATGCAGTGGGGAAGTGCATGGTAAAAGAAACAATAGACAACTCTACTTGATGGAACATGACACAACTATGCATGATTTAGATATTTAATTTGGACTATGGCTCTGATGATCCAGAATCAGTGATTCTATTCAACTGGAAAAATTTAGTGTTGAGATTTGAAATGCATTGCTTTACTCATAGCTAACATGTAGCCTATGTCATGTCACAACACAGATGGAAGTTAATATTTTTTCATCGTAAAAACAATCATTTTGGTATTTTTGTGAGATTAACATGTCTGTGTTTATTTTTTTCCAGAACTTCTCCCCTCAGATGTCCGGTGGCTACGATGACAAATCTCCTGCCATGCCTGTGCCTGGACCCATTGTAGGTTACATACGTATTTAAATACACTATATTCAAAATATTTCCATGCGCAGCATCTAAGCTTTTCTCTGTTGGATTGATAGGGCCCAATGGGACCCCGTGGACTTCCTGGACTTCCTGGACCAAACGTGAGTACATGATGGGGGTTTTTATGCTTAGGTTAAAAACTGAAACCTGGCATGCTAGCTAGCATGAATCCAGTCCTTCCTTTTTCTGCTGCAAATAACACAAAGACAGTGTTTTTTTCTGATTGATTACTATTAGGCAGCAAAAACATCTTTTATTTTCTTGAAATAAATTTTGAAAAATTAACAAACTGCTCCTTACAGTGTGTTGAAACAGTGAGTAGCATCAACATATTTGGTGTAGTGATGGTGTTTCTGTTTGTTGCCAACTATAGGGACCTCAGGGATTCACTGGCCCCCCTGGTGAGTCCGGAGAGCCTGGATCTCCTGTGAGTATTCAGGACAGGGAAACAAATGCACGTTGTACTTTGCTGTGATGTTAACACTCTCACCTTATTTCTGATTTTCGCTTCAGGGTCCCATGGGTCCCCGTGGAGCTGCCGGCCCCCCTGGAAAGAACGGCGAGGATGTAAGTGCACTGGATTGATATCATATCAGTTCATCTACCTATATATATCATATATACATATACATATATATCAGTTTAGACTGAGGAATGTCTTGAGCCATCATTTCATCCCCATTTCCCCAACTCTCTTTCTCTCAGGGTGAGTCTGGCAAACCAGGTCGCTCCGGTGAGCGCGGACCTTCTGGCCCTCAGGTAAGTTGCTGATTCTTACCACCGATATGTAAAACAAAAACAGAGCTGAGATAATAACTTTTGTCACCTCCTTGTTTTTTTTCCAGGGAGCTCGTGGTTTCCCAGGAACCCCAGGTCTGCCTGGCATCAAGGGACATAGAGTGAGTCAGAACTTGTGCCACCCCATTCAACTGATATTCAACCCAAAATAAAAAAATGTTGAAAGTCGTGGCTGGAAACTTCATCTTTGCATGTCTGTTATTCTGTGTAGGGATTCAGTGGCCTGGATGGTGCTAAGGGAGACAGTGGCCCCGCTGGACCCAAGGTGACTGCCCCCACTTTGTTATAACACTTGTTCTCACCACATAAGCTGTAGAAAAAAGTCACCCACAGGTGGGCTACTTCACTGATAGTGCAGTGGTGAGTAGCTGTAATCGTAGCAGTGCTATAAATGACAGTAATATTGGCACTGATATCTAACTCATAGTGGTCCTGGTGGTAGGAGCACTAGTGCCAGAATTTGAAGTACAATAAAATTAATCGCATTTGATTGTAATTATAGACAGCACCATATCACAACTCCCTTTTAACAGGAAGACATCTCTGGCAGAACTGTCAATATGGTTCTCAAACGAGTACCGTTTAGTGTTTAAAGACACACTGAAAAAATTAACCTATAGATGCAGAAAAATCATTAAAAATGTCTAAAATAGTTTCAGCATTTCCTCCATTATAACCAGTGTATTTTCTTCACCTACCACTCCACCGACAAGTTGGTCATATACAACATATTTTAACCTGAAGCTAAATACTGCTAGTATTAACAGCTAACAGTTTGAGTATCAATGTGGACAGTAAAAGCTACAATAATGCTACAAAAAGCAGTAGTATCAACCATTTAAACACTAGCAAGTTACATTAGCAGTCACTGGCTACTTTTTAGTTATAGCAGCTTGATTGGCTAAATGCTGCATTGACGAGCATCATTTCTAAAAGTTTGATAAAGTTTCTAGAGTTTAATTAATGATTCTGATCTTCTCGCCGGCCCGTGTGTTTCTGTCCATTTAGGGGGAGGCTGGCACCCCTGGTGAGAATGGAACCCCTGGTGCTATGGTGAGTAAAACAAGCGCCCCGTCTCTGCTACATAATTATAGTAGCATAGTTTCTTCTCTCCACAACTGATTTTGGCTAACTGACGTTGTCTTTGTCTATCTCAGGGACCTCGTGGTCTGCCTGGTGAGAGAGGCCGTGCTGGTGCTTCTGGTGCTGCTGTGAGTCCATACATTACATAGTTGCAACTAGTGAAATCAATTAATTAGTGAATTGAGAAACCAATCGACCACTCACGTTTGTCTTTGACCTGCAGGGAGCTCGTGGTAACGATGGCGCTGCTGGTGCTGCTGGGCCTCCTGTAAGTCTTTCATTGTCCAAAGCTTCAGTTCTTAAAATCTCAGCTTTGTTAGCACTGACCCAAAAAGATGCACTATGTATATCTGAGTATCTGTGTTTTTGTTCTTCTCAGGGTCCCACTGGCCCCGCTGGACCCCCTGGATTCCCCGGTGGCCCTGGAGCCAAGGTATAAACTGCTCCTGACCCGCTCCAGTAATCTTCAGTCCATTTTTCTTCTGAAAAGCAGTATAATCTATTTCCTCTCCTCTCTTGGTTGTGTTTTTACTGTGCCGACTTTGAAGAATTTATTTTCTGAAGCATGTAGGTAGCCAACACGTACACCTGACATGTAGAATGCAGGTCATAAAAAACATCTGAGCTCCCACTACTGTTCGAGTATGAACAGTGACTATTAAGAAATTAGATGGATGGGCGCTATTTTTATTTTATTTAATTTTTTTGCAGAGTTCTCAGTATATTTTAAAGCTTATGATAGAAATTCACAGTAATTGTCTGTGCATGTGGAACTGGGTCATAGCTGAAGCTGTGGAGTTCTTTTTGGCTGAGGTTAGATGTTGAGTGTTTATGCCGACAATTTTATCTTCTTTTTTTCTTGTCTTCCACCACCAAGCTGTTTGTATTGCTAAATAATCTTTTCTTTCTCCCCAGGGTGATGCTGGAGCTCAGGGTGCTCGTGGACCCGAGGGCCCTGGTGGAGCTCGTGGTGAGCCCGGAAACCCCGGACCTGCTGGCGCAGCTGGACCTGCCGTAAGTATGAGAGACTGTAATAAAGATCCTTGATGAAAACAACAACAAATGGGCCACAAAAAATAGGCCACTAGAATCTGATTCATGGCAAAATAAAACAATTTACATTATTGTTTAAATTGTTAAAAGAAATTTTAAAAAATTCTGCCTTCTGGGACAATAAATAAACTTCCTTCCTTCTCCTCTCAGGGAAACCCTGGAGCTGATGGAGCCGCTGGAGCTAAGGGAGCACCTGTGAGTATCTTTAAACAACTTACTCTATTTTTAATGCTTTCTTATTTTTACTAAAGCTACAGATAGTCATCACTTTTTCTACAGCATGACATTAAATGACTGTATTGTTGTGTGCTGCCCCCTACAGGGTGCTGCTGGAGTTGCTGGAGCTCCTGGTTTCCCCGGACCCCGTGGACCCCCAGGACCTCAGGGTGCTGCTGGTGCCCCCGGACCCAAGGGTAACACTGTAAGTAACGATCTCTTAGATCAATAAAAAAAAAAGCAAAATCACCCAAAATTTAAACTTGTATGATTTGTGTGGATACTTTGACCTACAGAGATAAAAACAAAAGTTAGAGATTTGTTTTGGGCATTTGTTATTTGCTGAAATTATTTCTCTTTTAGATTTATCCAAATAATAGTAATTTCTCCCTATTTTGTAGTTTTTTAATCTTATGTTTTCTTGTTTGTTTGTGTCCCATAGGGTGAGGCTGGTGCCCCAGGATCCAAGGGAGAGCCTGGTGCCAAGGGAGAGGCTGTGAGTTCACCATAGATCATGACAGAGCACACTGCACTAAAATCATGTGTGTATCAGCCTCTTATTCCACATTGCATGTTACATTGCTCTTCTACAGGGTGTTTCAGGAGTTCAGGGACCCCCTGGACCTCCCGGTGAGGAGGGCAAGAGAGGAGCCAGAGGAGAGCCTGGTGCTGCAGGAGCCCGTGGCGGCCCTGGAGAGAGAGTATGCATCTCACTGGATTTCCACTTTATACGTACCCTAGTCTGTAAAATGATGGCAGAGGGACCTCTAGTGGTGTTTCAACACAAAGGACAAAAGACATTTGACCAAGAGTATTACAGATATGGACATACTGAGTGGTGCTAGTACTAAGATAGAAACGTTCATTTCTGTTCTTAGAGACAAGGTTAATACAAGCAATTTGTCAATGGCTGGCAGATCCAGTCCACAGATTCTATCTGCCATCATTTTCTTCTCATTGAGTTCTCTCAGGGCTCTAAAACACGATTAGACCTATATTTATGTTCATAAGGCACTGAAGCAGAAGGAATTCAGCACAAGCACTTGGTTAAAAGTATTAAGTCTTTTGGATGTTAATTTAAGTTAAAAATGATGCCACAGACCTGAGGTCCAGATCTCTCTGATGGAATTCGACTGCATGCATGATACAGGGTGTTCAATTTTAAACCTACAGTTTGGACACATTTCTCTTTAAACACTTTTTACTGTTCAGAGCTAAGCAGGACATGTTTGATTGTCTTTGCAGGGTGCCCCTGGTGGTCGTGGTTTCCCTGGTTCTGATGGCCCTGCTGGACCCAAAGTAAGGAAAATGCACACATATATACAACAGATATAAACCTTAATTTCGCCCGCAGGCTTCCACAATTTTGGTTTAACTAATTTTTGAATTTCCACCATTCTTATTTTCTTCTTAGGGTGCCCCTGGTGAGCGTGGTGCCCCCGGTCTTGTTGGAGCTAAAGGTTCCACTGGTGAGTCTGGCCGCACTGGTGAGCCTGGTCTGCCCGGAGCTAAGGTGGGATAGCATACTGTCTGTCAAATAATTCTCTGCAGCATCATTTATTCATTATACCCAGTCCCTCCTCTGACCTCTGACCTCTGCTTTATAGGGAATGACTGGCAGCCCCGGCAACCCTGGACCTGATGGCAAGATGGGACCTTCTGTAAGTTTGTATGCAGTACAGTTAACCCTAGTTCTTATAATTTATGTCAAGAAATAGCAAAACCCCTTAACATGCTTAATCTTCCTTAACAGGGAGCCCCCGGACAAGATGGCCGCCCTGGACCTCCTGGCCCTGGTGGAAATAGAGGCCAGCCTGGAGTCATGGGATTCCCCGGACCCAAGGGTGCTGCTGTGAGTAGCGTTACAACATCTATACATTATATTTAATCATGCTTAGTAATAGTGGGCATCTAAAATATGGTCTCCGTGTTTTTTTGTCTATAGGGTGATGCTGGAAAGCCCGGTGAGAGAGGAACCATGGGACCTACTGGACCTGTTGTGAGTGCTCAATATCCTGCTGTTTTCTTTCTTGTTATCTATCATCAATGGTAGGATTGTGTGTGTGAAAGCCTTCTATCTCTCTACCCAGGGTGCACCTGGAAAGGATGGTGATGTTGGCGCACAGGGCCCTTCTGGACCTGCTGTAAGTAAACAACACTAACTTCGATATTAACACCCAAGTTTGTGTTGATGTCTCTCTACAAAGTACTGAAAGCTACATAGCTGCAAGAATAAGTCACATCTACTCCATGCATTACTGCCACCATTGCTGACCCTCCCTCTCTGCTCATCTTAAGGGTCCTGCTGGTGAGAGAGGAGAGCAGGGAGCTGCTGGATCTCCTGGATTCCAGGGTCTCCCAGGACCCCAGGGAGCCATTGGTGAGACTGGCAA